AAAAGCTAGACATATTACATTGATTAAATAAGTTCTTTGATTATGCTGCTTTTGTTTTGTTTTTAATTCATTCATTGTTGTGCCTTTTCTTCACACCTTCTAATGTTTAACCATATATTCTTTTCAGACAGTCCTTCTCATTTGTTCCAATATCTGTCCACTCTTTTCCTATTCTCCCCCCAACCCTCCATGTCAGTCCTATTTTATAACAGCAGTGCTATTCCATGTTTGTCCTTTTGTGATTGAGATATTTCACTCAGCATAATATCTTCCAGGTTCACTGTTGTTGTGTAATATTTTGTGATTTTTTTTTTTAGTGCTGCATAGTATTTCAGTGTGTGAATATACCACAGATTTTCTGTCCATTTGTTTGATGATGTGCACTTGGATTGCTTCCATCTCTTTGCTGTTATGAATAGTGAATCAATAAACATGGATGTGATTGCTTTGCATTTTAAAAATTTACATATTCAAACACATAAAATAGAACAGTGAGCCCCCAAATTCTTGTAGCTCAGCCTTGTTCTTCTTGTTATGTGCCGTTGAGTCGCGACCCTATGTACAAGAGCCCCAAATCCTATTCTATCCTGTGCCAACCCCACTGTCTCTGACATACCTACTCCCACCACCCCAATCACTGAATCTATCCATCTCATTGAGGGTCTTCTTTTCCTGTGCTGTCCCACCCCTCTCCCAAACATGATGTCCCTCTCCAAGGACTGGTCCCTTCTTGTAGCATGTCCAAAATATGTCAGACGATGCTTCAGACTTCTTGACTCCAAGGAGCGTCCGGATTCGCCCTCTACAGGACAAATCTGTTTGTTCTCCTAGCAGTCCCTGGTATACTCACCACTTTTCTCCAGCACCACAGCTCAAAGGCATCAATTGTCTTTCTATCATTCCTAGTCACTGTCCAGCTCTCTGATGCATAGCACACAATTGCGAGTCAGCTCTTTACTTTCTGTATTCTTGGTTTCAGTTTCCCCTCCCATGTCTCATTACTTTTTCTAGGCTTGTTTTTTTGTTTTAGCAGTCTTTATACTATAATGTAGGCTTGGTAAAACTTGAACATTTAGTTTAAAATCAACTGATTACCTTAAGTCTCATTTGCAGAGTGGGGAAGGAAGGTAATGTTACACTTAAGAAAATTTTTTTTTTTTTTCTATAATTATATTAAATGAGG